CACCTTATATCCTTGATAAGGTCCTCGACGGGGGCGTCGCAACGCAGCCCGTCGGGAATTAGCAAACACGTAGCAGCGCTACACCTCCGTACTGCCCGATGGCAAAGTACCGACACCGGAACGGTCGCAACCTGTATCCGATGAAACCAACACTGTCCTGTATACACAACAGGACCTTCGAGGGAAACGTCGTTGCAACAGCCTCCGTCGGTGTTCGTAAACAAGTAGCAGCACTACACCCACGTGTCGCCCGATGGCAAAGACACCTACACCGGTCCGGTCGCAACCAAAGCCGATGGCACCAACACAAAATAGGGGAATAGAAATAGAGATAGAAATAGAAAGGGATAGGTGAAATAAAGAAAAAGGAAAGGGAACCCCCGAGCGCAAAGGATAACGTGATCTGTGGTAAAAGGGAGCGTCTTGGGAAAGACGGACTTCGACCAAGGCGATATTCAACTCTGGCAACTCGGGTTACCTTTCCTGACTTGGTGGTCAGAGGGCTAAGGTATATATCGCCCCGCCGGAGCCTCTACAGTAGCTCGCGGCGCTAGATCCTAGATCTAATCTAGTGTCAGCAAAATTAATGCCAACTAATTAACTAAATAAAATAATAAAAAATTAAAACTGTGCAATTATTCACACGTGTGTCCCCCCAACCCGGACTACTTTTCATATCCAAATCCAAATATTTTCCTTCCTTTCCACCCCCCTGTAGAGCCCATTATTGCACTACATGGAGATTTTTCGAGAAGGTCGAATGATGCTGTTGATTGCTATCGCCTGATTGGCAACCTTGGTCATGCTGAGGCTCTGGTTCGTGAGCAGCTGGACCTATTCGACCGAGCAGTTGTGGAGGACGGGATGGCAGGATAGCCTGAGATTGCCTCTGCGGTTTTGAACTTTGGTGCGAAGGGAGCTGTCCATGCTCGTGCTGCGCGACGGCCTCGCCTCATTTGCGTCCTGGGAGATGTCAAGAGGAACAAGGAGCATTTCGAAACAGCGTGGACAGAGAGTGGGGGCAAGGAAGCCCGGCATGTAGAATGCGCGATAGCCCGCGCTGGATGCTTCACTGTGACAGAGAGCTGGACGCCGTGCGCGGGACGCAGCGGTGGCGGACATTTCAGCGGCACCAATCGGCGATTGCGATGTTCTTGGTCCGGACGGGGGCGGGCCTCACAAATCGAGGAGACGTTTGCGTTGGAAGGTGAGGGCGACGGTGTACAACACTTTCTGCCAATTTTAATATTTACAGACATATTTTTAAATTTAACGATGTAAGCTGTCTTTGCAATCAACTCATACATACTTCTGAAAACTGTTTTCCAGCGAAACAGTTAAGTGATCTGCACAAACAGTCGCAGTTCGAGTTTGCCACGCTTCGCAACGTGATGGACAATTCTTTCAGACGGTATGTACGGCGTTTTACGCATAGTGGTTCCGAAAACATCCCTTCAACTTCGAAGGCACTCCTCACATCCCATGAAAACATTTCGACTTCCGAACGCACCACTTGTCCTCCTCCTTCAATTCTGCGATCTTCGTTACCCCCTCGCGCGAAATCAGCCGTTCTCGCATCTCACCGACCTCCTTCTCCAGACACGTCGTCGCCTCCTTCATCACCGCGCCAACCTCTTCACACTACAGCACCTTCTTCCCTTCAATCACACACACCAGCGTCTTCCGGTGCAGCTAAGACACGGCGGAGTTCTTCCCGTTTGCGATTTCGGACAGATTCTGTGGGACCTTCATTCCAAGTCATAGCTTCGCCATCATCCAGCCCACAAAAAGAAGCACAAGGAAACATGGGTCTGCGACGTACAGTGTCCACGCATAAGAGGCGTCCATTGCCATTACAGGCCGGAATTGGAGGCGCCGAGAAGCGTCGAAGACTAAAACCCGCTCAGACTGAGGCCACACGTTCGAACCCTACTGTGCGGGTACCCCTGTTGAATTCATCTGCGCTTGAGAGCACCGAGTTACAGCCTGCCGCACGTTCGAACCCTACCTTGCGCCCACCCCGATCGAGTTCATCCGCGCTTGAGAGCACTGAGTTGCAGCGATCCATAGTGGCAATGCACAACAGTTTGGCAGAAGAGCTGGCAAGTTGCAATGCCACATTATCGGACCTAGTGAAAAGCAATGCCAATACGGCGTCCAGTTTGGAGGACATCAAACTCCTCATTTTTCAAAGCTCTGCAGGTAGTTCGCGAATACCATCTCGATCAAGGGTGCAGGGAGGGTCTCGGAAAGCTGCAACTAAGAACCTGGAAAAGGACGTTGTCAAAGACAACCCCACAGTTATTGTCGAAATCAATGCCGCAGTGAACGCGGATACCGTGTCAAGATCGCTTGCACAGACTCTATCTTCGTTTATGGATGTCTATCACAATAACCAGGATGACCCCCGGATGACATCGCGCGTCGTCAGCGTCCTCTTGTTCGGGCTCAAACATAACAAATCTCGTTCAAAATTCAAACACGGACTGGGCAAAAAGCATGCAAGTTTTCGCTTCAGTACAGCCAAACGTGCGGTGATGAACGCAAGAAATCTCTCCGACGAAAGTATACGAGCATATGCGGCAGAATTTACAACAACCAAAGCCTTTATTGATAGGGATGCTGACCGCATTGGAATTGATGTTCATGTTTCTACGAAGCCTTCTTGGCTGCAACCAGGTGTTTTGGGCAAGCAAACGCTGCACACCCCGCGAATGCATCACGAGTGCGTGAAGGCCGAGTTACCTCCGGATTCCTCCTGCCCGACTAGGCGCAAACATCTGTTCATATGCAAGAGGATCGTCACTATTATTAACGACTGTTTGCGAATCTCTCGGGACCGCTCAAAGGTCAAAATGTTGGAGAGCGGCCTCTTTCTACTGGTTAACTGGAGTGAACATGACTCTTTCCATCGCTCTCACTCGTCATCGACCTTTCGATTTTTGCACAGCGATGCAGAATCCGTCCCCGCTTCCGAGATCCCTGACACTACTGTAGGGTGGGATACACACACATCCATCACCAATCGGAAGCTTCTGGCTGCTCTTATATCGGAAAGCAAAGACCTGGTAATACAGGCGACTTATCAAGTCACCGTCACTGGTGGTTCGAACTGCGAAAACCGTGTCACAGAGATCAACCACAACTTTAACATCTTGCGAATTGCTCTGCGCTTCGTCTGCACCTATTGCCATTGTGGTGAGGAAATGACTCTTGGATCACATGCGTCAATGCTTCGAACAATCTATCCGATTGCTCGGTTTCTGAGGCAATTTTTCTCTGTTCGGGCGAACTACAATCCTTCAGGTACAACGGAAACGCACGATGAGGCAACAGCTGTCAATGGTGACGTGACAAGTGAGAGGAGCCAATCTGTGATACCCGAAATCACGCTGCGAGAGATGTTACCGGGTAGATCGGAGAAAGAGAAGGTTATTTATTAGTGGGGTGTTGAAAATCTCCAAAGAGACATTCGCCAGATTAAACATTTTTGCACCGCAAGACATTGACAGCAGCGAAAGCGCGGTGCTAAGCGGCACCAATGAGTGGAGACATCAAACAGAAGATTTGGAAGATGATTTCGACAGGGGCGAAGATGTTATGGCGGGAATGCTAGACTAACATTTCTGCCCTGATAGGTTACGTAAAGTTCGGATTTGCACGACCAGTGTTCAGACGGGTTCAGCAGTACGCGCTAGGCTGCACGCCAACAATTGCACGCCTTCACTATCAGAAGCTGCAGTATTAGAGCAGGTAAAAAAGTCGGAGCTCGTTCTAGTGGAGGACATCACTCGGAAAAATCGCATGAGGGGCGCGATCAGCATTCGAAAAAATCATTTGGGCTGCTCATGTCGGCAAGAGTGAACAGGGCGGAGCCGATATAGTTTATCCTACCTCCATAGTCACCAAATGAATGAACGAATTGCACCACCATGTATCCCCCAACTTTCTCCGAGCCGTCATGTACTATGGTAGCTCGTGAGGTAATTCGCAATCAATATCGCTCCAATGTGCAGATGTTGTCGTGAATACTGCTGGGATCCTTGCTGCGTAATATTCTGATAACCCCCTGAACTTTGTGACAGACGAATCCAAGAGAAAATGCTTGGGAGGGCCAGTCTTTCAGTTGCAATGGCGCCACGTAGTTCTCGACCATGCACACACTATCAAGAATCGAGTAACGAAGTGGGCTCGAGCTGCATTCTCTCCCAAAGCAGAGAAGCGATGGTGCGTAACGGATACCGTAATTCATAACCGTGTCAATGACATGTTTATCTTATTGCATTTTCTGCGGGTGAAGCGATAGTCGTCTTGGGCCTTTTGGAATCGTGGCATCTCGCAATAGCGACATTGAATGTCGCACAGGTGAAGACGTCAACGCGCCCCACCCTGCGCCGGCACTACAGAGTCCCGCACGAGGCACCTTCGTCACGATCACCTCATCCACCCCTTCAGCTTTCCCATCAATTGCAAAGTCCTCAAACTCTAACGATCCGGCATCCAATGTGATCACGCGATAAGCCCCTGTCTGAACCATATCTGGTAGCTGTAACTCTAGCACACTCGCTCTACAAACCGCCTGCAACCCCCCGGCATGAACCCTTTGAGCGTATGTAAATACCTGGACAAGAACGCAGCTAACCTTGGCCGGGCCAGACCTCCCTCCTCATCCCTCCTTGCAGTGTTCATAGGAGCACAACGAAGGAAGCTTTTAAGTTCAAGCAAGCCCGGGCTTAGCGTTCATGTATCCCGTGCAATACCATGACAAGAAATACGCCTTCATTGCGAAACTCCGGTTATTTACTCCAGCATTGTTTTCTTTCTATTGTCTGTTGTACAGGGGCTCGTTCCTCCAACAAAGTGACTCGCATCCACACTCATTTTGTCACGAGATCTAGTCGGTTGCTATTTGCGTTTTAAAATTGGTGCTGATGCTACCGTATAATCTGGGCCATCCCTGCTCCTCTGAGCACAGTGTGCGCTCCCGAGGGAGCAACAGCTCATGTCGTTGGGGAAGCGCCTCCTTTCCAGGACTGGTTCTGATAATTACTTTTTCCCGTCGCAGACGGAGCTGGTGTCACTGAGGCCGATAGCTTTCCGAGCCTTTTCCGAATACAGGGGATGAAGGCTTTCATGATGTTGGGCAAAAGTGCCAGGTCGCTGTCATCTACCACATTGGAAATAAGAGAGTGACGAACCGCTTCTCTTTTCACAATGTCCAGAAAATCCATGGTCAGAGCGAGCAAATATTCCTCTGAGATGCTCGCGCTTTTCATGCTGCCATTTGCTACGTCTATGTTGCGATCGTGGCTAAGGTAAACGAAGGGATGTTGCATAAGGTCTGGAATGGACATACGATTTTGCGGGTCGCGCTGCAGGCATCTGTGGAGGACTTCAAGCGCAACAGGGTCGGTTACATGACGGTATGATATTTCGTACTTTGGATTCTGAATGCAGTTCAGCTTTTGAAGAGTGTCTTTGATGTGGGCGAAGGGCGCTCTTCCACACAACATTTGATACAAGATGCAACCTAAACTCCAGATATCACTTGCACGCCCCACTCGGTACCATACTGATTGCAGATCAGTTTCTGAGTCAGTGCCGTACTCATTCCATGCTCTAGGATCTGGATTCTCGTTCACTAAGGCCTCCGGGGACATGTAGTTGAGAGTCCCTACCTGAGCTTCCCGAAAAACTTTTGTCGTGTCGTCGCTAGTGATGGCTTTTGCAATCCTAAAATCTATTAACTTCAACTCTCCTCGGACGACCAAGAAGTTTGCTGGTTTCAAATCTCCATGAATGATTTTAGCCTCGTGAATGGTGTGCACAGCCTTGACCATTTGCAGCCAATGACCCCTCGTGAAGTGATCCTCCATACTCCTACTCTTATTGCGGAGTAGGATTTTCGCAAAGTCAACGTCCCCGTACTCCATGACCATCTTGATGGTTCTACATTCGTACTGAACTTCCGCATCGAGGAGTTGGATGATCGATGAAAAACCTCGAAGTTTCTTGAGCAACGCCATTTCGTTTGCGTACGAAACAAGAGTTGTTCGAAATGCGACGAAGTGGGGACTTTCACGGACTTTATGGCCAGCACTTCCATATCCTGGCTGAGAACTTTGAAAACTTTCGAGCTGCCACCCCTTCCAGCCTCGCTCAAAATCAAGTACTGCCTTTTGTTCACTGTGAGCACGCTTTCATGCTTTGGTTCGTTACACATACCCCAAAGCGAATTTTGTTGCCGCGCAGTCGTATTCTTCGAAGCGTCAACTGAGGACGATTCGAGTGACAGATGGCGAACAACAGAACCCCTCGAATGGGAAAAGTAACTTTCCCTATCAAGGCTGGAGTTCAATGGCTGGGAGTTTCCGCCATTTGTAGTTGCCTCGACGTTGGTACTGCCAGTGCGATTCCTTCTTGGCTGCATTCGACGATCAAAGTTTCCTGTTGGCAGACGACTGCCAGATTCGGAAATACTGGCAAAGCCCTTGTTATGGACATCGTGCGCTTGCAACTGGCGTACCCCTCGGTATATACCATTTTTTTGCCGAAAAATCCAAATCTTCTTGACATACTGCAGAAGCTCCTATTTTCAGACGTCTTTGCAGGACCACGGTGGAATATTACCTCACCGTCTCTCTGCGCATCCCTCTCCATAATTTCGCTTAAAGCACTTTCGAGCGCGCTAAGGCCGGAGAAGGAAGAGAAGAACGACAGGGGGAGGTGCAAGAGAGGATGGCGAGCGAACTGTTTTGAGCAGAGTGCAGGCGGTTCACTTGCCACACGCTGACGTAGCGTGCCACGTATGCTATGTCCGAGTCATAATACTGATCAGGGGATATATATAACCTGAATAGACTCGCGGTAGAGATTACTACAGAAAAATCACATCCCGCAGCGCCTGTGCCGCGCGCTGGACACGGACCGCCTGCAGAGTGGGACATAAAACTTTGCGTATGGAGAGCGCGCGCCGAGGCGCCCTCATCGGCGAGCTGCACGGGCGCGTCCAAGAGACCCCGCTCGTAATTGCCCTTCATCCCGTTTCGTCGTGTGAGCCCACCATGGCGTTCTCCATTCGTTTCGTCCTTCTCATCTTTTTTCTTCCTTCTCACATTCTCGGTTGTCCAACGCCAGAAGCAGCCCTTCAAGCTTCACCGACAAACTGCACCTGACAACAGCACCCCACCCCCAGGACTAGTTGGAGGAAATGGACCGGGTGGTCCCGGCACTGGCCCCCTCCCTTCCCAACCGCCCAGTACGTTGCCCCGCAAACTCGCCATCGCAGTCATCTCTATTGCTACTGGCTCTGCCATCATCGCTATCCTCGCTTGTGTCTGGTGCTTTGTCCTGCCCCCAGAGCGCTCCAACATGTACAAGAGCCCAGCTGGCCATACTAAGACTATCCTCTTTCCTCCTGCTGTTGCTCGCCACCCGGACGACGCGGTCACTGGTGATCACACTCAACCTCTCGCTAAGGAACACATTTATCAGTACTCGCCGGAAAGAGTTTAGCGCTACTCTTGTCGTCTCGTTCCGCACGATTTCTATTTCGCCATGTCGAACTGCAAAACTGTGGTTTGTGTTCTTGTTCAGCTGCGAGGAGAATGACTGAAGGCAAAATTGTCCGGTGTCTGCCTCAAGGATACCCGTCCGCCTTCAAAACCTCCTTGGAAAGATTACTCATAGCCGACGAGCGATCTACAAGCGCACCCTCATCAATAAAGGATTTCCCCCAGGCCAACCCCTTCCCCTTCTCCCCCTCCTGCTCCTCCCGACTGTCTCCCTCTCTCAAGTTCACAAACGGGCTGTCATTAACAACCCTCGCCACAACCATAGTCCCGACGCCCACGCCCGCTCGAGAGTCGAGCACGCTCTTCGGCACGAAGCAATTCCCCAAGCAGCGTCTGACCTCGGCCATGAAGTAGACGTTTGCGGCCAGCAAATGGACCACCCGAGCTGTCAATGTACGTGGAAGTAATGAATTACGTTTCTGCACCGGCCACTGTGAGTTTAGCGCCATTTGATCACTTGTGCCCTCAAAGCCGTGGGAAGCGAACGGAGACTTTCGCCGACCAAGAATGCCTTTTCGAAGATGGAGCATCAGCGCGATTAATGTGTAACTTAGCAGTGGAGAGTATCAAACCTATGGGGGTGAAACTGCGAGGCTCAAGGCCCTCAGAGCCCGCAGAGAGAACACCTTGTATTACTCGCGTAGCTCAAGCTGAAATTGCCATTAGCGTGGAAAGTCATTCCAATGAGGCCCTCACAGCAAATACTCACGCCCACGTAAGCGCAGTTCCTGTCGGAGCTTTTTGCCAAACGAAAATTCAGGTTTGGAACAAAGGTGACACAAAGTTGCCACCTCAGTTCGTGTTGGACATTGGTGTTGTGCAAAACGATGGTCACAGACATGTCCAGCAAGCAAGCAGGGTAATTGTGGTAGTGGCCACGGAAAGAGTATTTATTGGCGCATTGGTATCTCGATCAGGAAGTTTTGAACACACAGTTCGAGTACGAGTGCCTTCCACTGGAACATATCAGATCCGGGCGATTCTTTATGACGATGTCTTTCAGAAGCGAGGTGGGAAGGACCCCATTTCCCTAGTCACAAGTAAACGGCAAGCCTTTCTTGCAGTGCTAGGGAAGACCACACGCACTGAGTCGCATTTGTCGAAGACAGGGTCACTAGGGATCGTCTTGGCGTCAAAGAATACTACAGCTACGCGGGGACCCACTGTCTCAAATGTCACCAAACAACGAAACAGGCCCAGCGGACGAGATTTAGATTTGGACCCATCGGGTTCTTTTTCTCGCAGCTCAAAGATTTCAAGCGGTTTGAAAAAAGAGGCGCCCTCAAGATCAGCACGCACAGCTGAAAGGAATAATGCACCCATCATCATTCAGCCAAAACGGTTGATACGTACCCTACGATTTCTCCGCAGCGCCGGCCCTTTGTCTTGGGATTCTGCTCTATGTCTTTAACAGGTGCCCAAGAAACACCTGCGATCGGCCGAAACGAGGATTCTGTCTCTTCGCCGTTATAGTCTATTCCCACTCATCCAGAGTTTTCAAACGAACTAACTTCATTAACTGATCCTCAATTAATGCTTCACTGATGTACTGTACAAAACTAAACTAAACCTTTACCGCTACAGCCACACGGCTGGGATGAGAAAGGCAATGTAGCATAAGATCTGGCCTGGCAAGACAATTCTTTAATTTCGAGAATTAAGAATCTCCAACGCCAGTCTTTCCTCATCAGCAATGGATGAATCTGCTACTTGATCTCTGGCACTAGAGTTCACATTACCAGAGCCCCCGTCTTCATGAACTTCACTTCCTGAATCGTCGCTATAGCCCTGGTCAATAGAGACCTGGGAATCTGCGGCAGGCCGAATAACTCCACTTAATTCACGCTGCTGCGCCCAATTGCGGGCATGAATTGATCGCACTTGCTCTCTCTCACGATCTTTGTCCTCTTCAGCATTCTGGGTCAAACAGGATGACACGGTCATTGCGTAGTCAGATATACCATGAAGGTCTTCTTCATCTGATGAGTCTTCGTTGTCGTTCCCCATGTCAGACGCTCTGACGGCCTTACCATCGTCTGTAAATAAGAGACGATTGCCACTAGGCATTGCTTTTAGCAAGTCCAGTTTTCGCCTCCTGCGTTTCCGAATCAGAATCACCTCGGAAACCTCATAAATGCTGTCACCCGCCTCGTTAACATTTGACAAGTTAATTTTGTGATTGCAAGTCATTTCCTCGCTTTTAAACAATATTTGGAATGTTCATAAACAAAACTTCTGTTGTTTCAGAAAAAGTGACGATGTACCGTTCATAGACAACAATGAGAATGTTTTAGGTCTAAATGTAATGCCGCCACACATACAATAGTACTGTTATTAATGCAATCTAATTACCGTCCTTGGACAATAATAGTAATGTTTTCCATGTCAAAAACATTGCTTTTGGACAACGTTTCGTAATTTCTTTAAAACTATCGTCCAAAAACAATACTTTTTATTGTGTTCACGGTTTTGCCTCCGCAGTGAACGATATCGGGACTTAGACAGCGAGCCCGCGGCGTATCCGGTCGCACGTGCCGGCCCGTCCAGTGACCCAACCGTCGCCGCGAGCGGCCTTTGTTCGACAACGAGTCTTACATTTCCCCTTCTCCCGCCCCTCCACGCGACGTCGCCCCGGGAGGCGCAGCAGCCGGCGTCCGTGCGTCACGGGACGCTGGGGCGGAACGACATCAGGGCCGTCCCTGTACTCTCCCACGCCTTGGGTCAGTCCGCCGACCGCGTGTGGCAGGTGGACGGTCTACTCAGCACACTCTCGAGCTGGTACTTGGCACGGAGCGATGAAGCACGTCGCCTCGAGGTGAGTCGTGAGTCCTCCGTAGCCGAGCTGCGACGCGTGTGTAGCGAATTAGAAGCGTTGCGCGAGTCCTCTGACCGCCAAGCGAGCGTGTTGGAGCGGACTACCGCCGAACATGACCGGTACCGCCGCGAGCGGGATGACCTCCGAAGCCTTTGCGCGGCGTCTTCGTCGACGCCACGCCCGATCACGCAGGATCCTTACGAGCAGTAGGGGTACGAGGCCGCAACGGTGGGCAACATCCAGGCTCCTCCGAGCCGTGTGCATCGCTGGACTCGCCACAGTGAGATGACGTTGCCTCCCTTGGCGGGGTTGTGCGCGGGGGTGCCTCGTCACCCCGCTTACTGTCCCCCGAGTCTCTACGACCCGCCTCCTGCGGCGCCGTCCGATGGCGCTTACCACTGAGCGGACTCCCGGTCTGTCCCCGGGGGCCAGGTCGACCTGCCCTCCTTCT